CCAGCTGGTCTGTGTCGCAGGGGCTGTAGTGTTGCCAGCTGGTCTGTGTCGCAGGGGCTGTAGTGTTGCCAGCTGGTCTGTGTCGCAGGGGCTGTAGTGTTGCCAGCTGGTCTGTGTCGCAGGGGCTGTAGTGTTGCCAGCTGGTCTGTGTCGCAGGGGCTGTAGTGTTGCCAGCTGGTCTGTGTCGCAGGGGCTGTTGTGTTGCCAGCTGGTCTGTGTCGCAGGGGCTGTTGTGTTGCCAGCTGGTCTGTGTCGCAGGGGCTGTTGTGTTGCCAGCTGGTCTGTGGCACAGGGGCTGTATTATTGCCAGCTGGTCTGTGGCACAGGGGCTGTAGTGTTACCAGCTGGGCTGTGGCGCAGGGGCTGTTACCAGCTGGGATGTGGCGCAGGGGCTGTTACCAGCTGGGCTGTGGCGCAGGGGCTGTAGTGTTGCCAGCTGGTCTGTGGCACAGGGGCTGTATTATTGCCAGTTGGTCTGTGGAGCAGGGGCTGTATTGTTGCCAGCTGGTCTGTGGCACAGGGGCTGTTCTGTTGCCAGCTGGGCTATGGCGCAGGGGCTGTTCTGTTGCCAGCTGGGCTATGGCGCAGGGGCTGTATTGTTGCCAGCTGGTCTGTGTCGCAGGGGCTGTATTGTTGCCAGCTGGGCTGTGGCACAGGGGCTGTAGTGTTGCCAGCTGGGCTGTGGCGCAGGGGCTGTTGTGTTGCCAGATGGTCTGTGGCGCAGGGGCTGTAGTGTTGCCAGCTGGTCTGTGGCGCAGGGGCTGTAGTGTTGCCAGCTGGTCTGTGGCACAGGGGCTGTATTATTGCCAGCTGGGCTGTGGCACAGGGGCTGTAGTGTTGCCAGCTGGGCTGTGGCGCAGGGGCTGTTGTGTTGCCAGCTGGTCTGTGGCGCAGGGGCTGTATTGTTGCCAGCTGGTCTGTGTCGCAGGGGCTGTAGTGTTCAGAACTGAGGTGCAGAATGTGCCATAGAGATCTCTCGTCCTGTACCCCGCTTATTGTTTACAAACTTTCTTTTTTAAATACTGTAATGAGGCAGCTGCCAAATGAGTCAGGAGGAACAGAAATATTAATGGACAAAAATGGCACCTGAGAACCCATGGCCATCATACTCTTCAAAAAATGTAACAATGTAAATTTTTTTTTTTTTTTTTTTTTTTTATTTATTTATTTATTTTTTTTTTTATTATTTTCTACCACAGACGTGGCCACACATTTACAATGCTAACCAGCATATATACATTTTCTTCTGTCCTCCATGGACAGGGTTAGAGAAGTGTTAAACATACAGTTCAAGGGTTTATTGAACACTCAACCACAGAAGGTGATTCGGTGCTTTTAAAATGCTATAATGATAAATGCTATAATGATAAATGATAAATAATAATAAAATGCTATAATGCTATAAATATGAATGTAATTCTTATGTAAATATGAATTCCTGACGCTAGTCTTGGGGAACATTGCAGCCTCCGTGTTGCCCGGACGGTGAAACAGAATTGATAGCAGGCATAAATAAGGGTAATGGCGTAGGGAAATGTATTGCCGAGTACACTGTTGGGCAGTTTACTGGCATGCTACGTTAAGTATTGAATGGTCCAGGACGGACCGAAACGTCGTCGTCCCTTCACCTTCTAGTGTGTGGTCTGGTCAACATTCTTCAACCTCGTTATTGTGACTCGTCGCCTGTATAAGTATTGAAGTTCAAGTAGACAATATTACGAACAATTTGTTAGTGTTGCATGAGAGCTTTCAGTGGCCATACATGCAACACCTTGTTACAAGTCTTCGTATCATCACGATGTTTCTAGGCACTAAGGTGTGTATATAATGGCTCCGTAGAGCACTATCTTATCTTGAGATGATTTCGGGGCTTAGCGTCCCCCGCGGCCCGGTCCTCGACCAGGTCTCCTTTTTGTTACACATCCCCCCCCGGAAGCACCCCGTAGCAGCTGTCTTAACTCCCAGGTACCTATTTACTGCTAGGTAACAGGGGCATCAGGGCGAAAGAAACTTTTTGCCCATTTGTCTCCGCCTCCACCATGGATCGAACCCGGAACCTCAGGACTACGAATCCGAAGCGTTGTCCACTCAGCTGTCAGGCGCCCACTACAAGCAAACCATTTCCAATTATCGTCTTCCAATGTCCGGCGATAACGGCCGACAAAAGGACATTTATGAGGCAATAACACAACTTCTCTATAACCTGTAACCAGAGTGTTATTACATGGTTCTGTAATTACAAAACGGACCCCCCAGAGACTCGTAGCACTTTGCAGGAAGATGCTGTTGACCTCCTTCAGCCTCACCTCAGAGCAGCCCACCTGAGGCGCTGGGTACTTGAGGCTGACCAGCCTCACTGTACTATATTACCCGAACCTAACCTAACCCAGGACCTACGAAAGGAAAACGGTACACTAAGTCAATTTTGAGAGCCGCTATGATTTTTAGTACATCAGTTTTTGGCAATATGGGGTTTATACGTCAATATGCGCCTGCACTATTTGAGAGGCCGGGAGCAGTGAGGGTGGTCCCCCCTGTAGCAGTGAGAGTGGTCCCCCCTGTAGCAGTGAGAGTTGTCCCCCCTGTAGCAGTGAGGGTGGTGCTCCTGCAGCAGTGAGAGTGGTCCCCCCTGTAGCAGTGAGGGTGGTGCTCCTGCAGCAGTGAGAGTGGTCCCCCCTGTAGCAGTGAGGGTGGTGCTCCTGCAGCAGTGAGAGTGGTCCCCCCTGTAGCAGTGAGGGTGGTGCTCCTGCAGCAGTGAGAGTGGTCCCCCCTGTAGCAGTGAGGGTGGTGCTCCTGCAGCAGTGAGAGTGGTCCCCCCTGTAGCAGTGAGGGTGGTGCTCCTGCAGCAGTGAGAGTGGTCCCCCCTGTAGCAGTGAGGGTGGTGCTCCTGCAGCAGTGAGAGTGGTCCCCCCTGTAGCAGTGAGGGTGGTGCTCCTGCAGCAGTGAGAGTGGTCCCCCCTGTAGCAGTGAGGGTGGTCCCCCCTGTAGCAGTGAGAGTGGTCCCCCCCTGTAGCAGTGAGAGTGGTCCCCCCTGTAGCAGTGAGAGTGGTCCCCCTGTAGCAGTGAGAGTGGTCCCCCCTGTAGCAGTGAGAGTGGTCCCCCCTGTAGCAGTGAGAGTGGTCCCCCCTGTAGCAGTGAAAGTGGTCCCCCCTGTAGCAGTGAGAGTGGTCCCCCCTGTAGCAGTGAGAGTGGTCCCCCCTGTAGCAGTGAGAGTGGTCCCCCCTGTAGCAGTGAGAGTGGTCCCCCCTGTAGCAGTGAGAGTGGTCCCCCCTGAAGCAGTGAGGGTGGTCGTCCTGCAGCCGTGAATCAATTTGACTACAAAAATAATCCTTCAGCTGATTCCGTTGGTTTATAAAGGCGTTAATGCAGGTGGAAGGAGGAGCGCCGTAGAGCAGCAGTGCGCGGACGGTCCTCATACATTATAGGCCTGGAATGTGTTGTGATGGTCTCTGAGGACGGGATAGAATGGAATAGAAACACACTTGCCATTAATTGCCAGTAGAGCGGAAGGCCTACTGAAAGGTGGGATTTTGAGTGCTTAAGTTTTCCCAAGCCAAAGCGCTGGCCTGGGTTCGTATCCTGGCCGGGGAGGATTGCCCGGGCGCCAGTCCTTAACTGTAGCCTCTATTCACCCATCAGTAAATGGGTACCTGGTGGTTAAACGATTTGGTGGGTCGTATTCAGGGGAAAATTACAATTAAGGACCTGCCCGGAATGCTATGCGTGCTAGTGGCATTACCTGAATGTAAGGCCATTCTCGTATATATAAATAAAATAAAAATTAATGGTGCAACGTCCGCCTGGATGTTCCGTAGAAGTCCTCGCCTGCTCCTTCTCCCTTGACAGCGTCCAGGGAAGCATACATTATTTAATAGAGTGAAAGATAGAAGACGATAACGTGAGTTTCTTAAGAAGTCGAGACATTGTTGCCTCTGACACCCTTTCCGCAGACAATTGTATATGTTATACCTGTTAGTTACCAATGTTTATATTACCTATTATATGTAACAAAGTTAGGCATCTTAATTATTTATATTTTAATTCAACTTTCTAACCACTATTCCCCATCCACAACCCGCTGATAAACATTGCTACAAAGAGTAAGAGATTTTGATAAACGTAAGATCGAACACAACAATTCTTACAGTGCATTGAGGCTGACTCTTACATAGTTGACTTCCTTCGAGAAGTAATTTCTACAGTAGAAAATTTATTGTTTTAAAGATACTTCTTATTACGACTGAGTGCTTTAGGAAACATTTTAGCGTTGTGAACAAACACGTCATGCTTCAACAAAGACAAAAAATACTCGCTTTATTATATGAAGACATCAAGAAACACATTTTCTCCTCTCGCTACCTGCAGGTCGGCGTTCAATACCCGACCGGCCAAGCGGTTGGGCACCATTCTTCTCCCCCCCCCCCTCCGTCCCATCCCAAATCCTTATCCTGACCCCTTCCCAGTGCTATACAGTCGTAATGGCTCGGCACTTTCTCCTGATAACTCCCTCCCTCCCTCGTCTTCCAATATAGGGTTAATATATAAGATACAATGCAAGAACACTTTGCAAACCATATATGAACAGCACCAAACTACAAGTTGTTCTTGTAGTTTATAATGTTATTTACTGTAGTTCTTGTTCACTTCTTATCGTCAGGCAAACAACCGATTCTTCTACAACAATTAACAATTCTTCACATGATGAAGGTCTGTGTACCTGGGTGTACTTGGGTGAAGTGTACCATGGTCTGTGATGATGGGCCTCTTCACCCTACACTCAACCCACAGCATGAACCCCAGTATAGTTTCAGACTTAAGTAGTGAAGCCATTCCGAAACGGTATGACTGTCCACACCCGCTATACACCTGCAATTCTGGTGGGTGTTAATAGCTGTTAAGAAAATATTCTTCCTGACACTGACAAGGAAACTCTTCCCATTTGAATCGTGCAGTGGTTAGATGGAAGCAAACCAGAGGACATTTTATATTGTCTTTGCCAGAGAACACTGGATATCCTCCAGAGAACACTGGATATCCTCCAGAGAACACTGGATATCCTCCAGAGAACACTGGATATCCTCCAGAGAACACTGGATATCCTCCAGAGAACACTGGATATCCTCCAGAGAACACTGGATATCCTCCAGAGAACACTGAATATCCCCCAGAGAACACTAAATATCCCCCAGAGAACACTAAATATCCCCCAGAGAACACTCAGTATCCCCAGAGAATACTGACCCCCCCCCCAAGAGAACACTGAATATCCTCCCCCCCAGAGAACACTGAATATCCCCCAGAGAACACTGAATATCCTGCCTTGCATCACTGTCCTGATGTGTCAGTAGCAGGATCAAAATCACGGTGATTGAGACAAGTGGAGTACAGTAGCCACACGCCCAACGTAGCGAGGACATTTTCATCTAAAAAGTCTTTTGACAAAAAAATATAATTAGCAAGAGATGTGGTTCATTATTAAAAAGTCGGTTGATGCAGGAAGTCCCTCTGCTATTATTATATCCAGTCGTGTCCAAAGGGCTGAGTAGAACTGGAACCGGGGAAGGTGAGCATGAAATATGAGGAGAATTATGGCCAGGTATTCTGCATCCTGGCCATGACTTGTGATCCTGTGGTCCTGGGTTCGATCCCAGGCGCCGGTGAGAAACAATGGGCAGAGTTTCTATCACCCTATGCCCCTGTTACCTAGCAGTAAAATAGGTACCTGGGTGTTAGTCAGCTGTCACGGGCTGCTTCCTGGGGGTGGAGGCCTGGTCGAGGACCGGGCCGCGGGGACACTAAAAGCCCCGAAATCATCTCAAGATAACCTCAAGAATCCTGTTTGTCTAATGTAAAGGAGAAGATTATTTGTTTGTAAGGGGCCCTGACGGCTAAATGGACAGCGTTTGGGATTCGTAGTCCTAAGGTTCCGGGTTCGATCCCCGGCGGAGGTGGAAACAAATGGGCAGAGTTTCTTTCATCCTGATGCCTCTGTTCACCTAGCAGTAAATAGGTACCTGAGAGTTAAACAGCTGCTACAGGCTGCTTCATGGGGATGTATAACAAAAAGAGAGGCCTGGTAGAGGACCGGGCCGTGGTGACGCTAAGTTCCCGAAATTATCTCAAGGTAACCTCAAGATAACCTCAAGATAACCTCAAGATGACCCCAAGATGACCCCAAGATGACCTCAAGATGACCCCAAGATGACCCCAAGATAACCCCAAGATAACCCCAAGATAACCCCAAGATAACCCCAAGATAACCCCAAGATAACCCCCCCCCTGTTGAGGTGAGTGCCACTGGCTGCTGCTGGAACAGAGGAAGGAACTCCAACATTAAGGCCAGTGCCCGCACGAGATATTATGTTTACCAAACAAATGCAGTGATTGTACACCAGTAAAGGAGGGCTGTCCTGTGCTTCACTACAACCTATGTTTAAATGTGGCATTTTATTGCCATATTGTGGTCGAGAGAGGGGGGGGAGGGGGAGGGGTACGTCCCTGCTGCACCCGAGTCTTTCTCTCTTCCCTCTACCTCCTACCTCTTTTAATTCCCTCTCGAACTCATCTCTATTTCCACTTTCATCCTTTTCTCTCCTCTGCCCCTCTCCACTCATTTTTTCCTCTCTTTCATTCCCTCTCTTTCCATCTTCCCTACTCCAACAATTTCCAACCTCTCTATCCTCTCCCCCATCCGCTTCACTTTCATCCCCCTCTCTCCTTTCTTCTCCCCATCTCTTCTTTTCTCTCCCCATCTCTCCTTTCCTCTCCCTCTCTCTTCTTTCCTCTCCCTCTCTCTTCTTTCCTCTCCCTCTCTCTTCTTTCCTCTCCCTCTCTCTCCTTTCCTCTCCCTCTCTCTCCTTTCCTCTCCCTCTCTCTCCTTTCCTCTCCCTCTCTCTCCTTTCCTCTCCCTCTCTCTCCTTTCCTCTCCCTCTCTCTCCTTTCCTCTCCCTCTCTCTCCTTTCCTCTCCCTCTCTCTCCTTTCCTCTCCCTCTCTCTTTTTTCCTCTCCCTCTCTCTTTTTTCCTCTCCCTCTCTCTTTTTTCCTCTCCCTCTCTCTTTTTTCCTCTCCCTCTCTCTTTTTTCCTCTCCCTCTCTCTTTTTTCCTCTCCCTCTCTCTTTTTTCCTCTCCCTCTCTCTTTTTTCCTCTCCCTCTCTCTCTTTTCCTCTCCCTCTCTCTCTTTTCCTCTCCCTCTCTCTTTTTTTCCTCTCCCTCTCTCTTTTTTTCCTCTCCCTCTCTCTTTTTTCCTCTCCCTCTCTCTTTTTTCCTCTCCCTCTCTCTTTTTTCCTCTCCCTCTCTCTTTTTTCCTCTCCCTCTCTCTTTTTCCCCCCTCTCTCTTTTTTCCCCTCCCTCTCTCTCCTTTCCTCTCCCTCTCTCTCCTTTCCTCTCCCTCTCTCTCCTTTCCTCTCCCTCTCTCTCCTTTCCTCTCCCTCTCTCTCCTTTCCTCTCCCTCTCTCTCCTTTCCTCTCCCTCTCTCTTTTTTCCTCTCCCTCTCTCTTTTTTCCTCTCTGTTACCACCCTTGAGACTAAATAAGGTTCTTCTCCCCGCAGTGCAATAAAGAAAATAATACATCGGCCTTGCCAACAACTGTCTAGGGGTAAATATACATCACTGCATAAAATGGAGAACAATATATTTATGCTAAGGGGGACAATCATAACAACACTTAAATGTATCAATAATAACCAGAAATATTCTTCAGCATGCAAATCATAGAATAACCTCCTTATTGAGACATGAGCACTATCACTAAGACATGGATTAATTAGAGAGATATATACAATATGATCTAACCAGATAATTAACATTTATATGGGCTAAAATAACAGTGACCAATGACTTAACTTAAACATGCCTCCTCACGACAGCAGCCGCCACGCTTCTGCCCACGCCTTGGACCGCAGGCCAAGCGTCTACCAAAAAATCAACTAACCGTCCACACAAAACATTGTGGAAAATCTAATAATAAAACGCAGCACTAATATTCAAAACATTGTTAAACTAAAGAGTAATAAACACTGGTACAACACTCCATACAATAATACAGAAACCAAAATATGGGAATAATCAATGTACAACTATAACACTCGATTGACAACAATGTTCCCACACTGGCCATATCCAAATATGGTCAACCGCCCACACGGAGAAACTACATGAGAAATTAACACCAAAAGCCTCACACAATATAATGTAACTCAGGCACACTACTGCATGCTATATTATATATATATAACATACAAAATCTTATATCATACAACTAGATGCTATATTAAAGAACAAGACAATAAAGTAATATGAGAATCAAGAGTAATGGCAGAATCCTAGTGGGATTCGTAACACTCTCCCTCTCTCTTTTTTCCTCTCCCTCTCTCTTTTTTCCTCTCCCTCTCTCTTTTTTCCTCTCCCTCTCTCTTTTTTCCTCTCCCTCTCTCTTTTTTCCTCTCCCTCTCTTTTTTCCTCTCCCTCTCTCTTTTTTCCTCTCCCTCTCTCTTTTTTCCTCTCCCTCTCTCTCTTTTCCTCTCCCTCTCTCTCTTTTCCTCTCCCTCTCTCTTTTTCCTCTCCCTCTCTCTTTTTTCCTCTCCCTCTCTCTTTTTTCCTCTCCCTCTCTCTTTTTTCCTCTCCCTCTCTCTTTTTTCCTCTCCCTCTCTCTTTTTTCCTCTCCCTCTCTCTTTTTTTTCCTCTCCCTCTCTCTCTTTTTTTCCTCTCCCTCTCTCTTTTTTTTCCTCTCCCTCTCTCTTTTTTTCCTCTCCCTCTCTCTCTTTTCCTCTCCCTCTCTCTCTTTTCCTCTCCCTCTCTCTCTTTTCCTCTCCCTCTCTCTCTCCTCTCCCTCTCTCTCTTTTCCTCTCCCTCTCTCTCTTTTTCCTCTTCCTCTCTCTCTTTTCCTCTCCCTCTCTCTCTTTTCCTCTCCCTCTCTCTTTTTTCCCCTCCCTCTCTCTCCTTTCCCCTCCCTCTCTCTCCTTTCCCCTCCCTCTCTCTCCTTTCCCCTCCCTCTCTCTCCTTTCCCCTCCCTCTCTCTCCTTTCCTCTCCCTCTCTCTCCTTTCCTCTCCCTCTCTCTCCTTTCCTCTCCCTCTCTCTCCTTTCCTCTCCCTCTCTCTTTTTTCCCCTCCCTCTCTCTCCTTTCCCCTCCCTCTCTCTCCTTTCCCCTCCCTCTCTCTCCTTTCCCCTCCCTCTCTCTCCTTTCCCCTCCCTCTCTCTCCTTTCCCCTCCCTCTCTCTCCTTTCCTCTCCCTCTCTCTCCTTTCCTCTCCCTCTCTCTCCTTTCCTCTCCCTCTCTCTCCTTTCCTCTCCCTCTCTCTCCTTTCCTCTCCCTCTCTCTCCTTTCCTCTCCCTCTCTCTCCTTTCCTCTCCCTCTCTCTCCTTGCCTCTCCCTCTCTCTCCTTTCCTCTCCCTCTCTCTCCTTTCCTCTCCCTCTCTCTCCTTTCCTCTCCCTCTCTCTCCTTTCCTCTCCCTCTCTCTCCTTTCCTCTCCCTCTCTCTCCTTTCCTCTCCCTCTCTCTCCTTTCCTCTCCCCCCTCTCTCCTTTCCTCTCCCTCTCTCTCCTTTCCTCTCCCTCTCTCTCCTTTCCTCTCCCTCTCTCTCCTTTCCTCTCCCTCTCTCTTTTTTCCTCTCCCTCTCTCTTTTTTCCTCTCCCTCTCTCTTTTTTCCTCTCCCTCTCTCTTTTTTTCCTCTCCCTCTCTCTTTTTTCCTCTCCCTCTCTCTCCTTTCCTCTCCCTCTCTCTCCTTTCCTCTCCCTCTCTCTCCTTTCCTCTCCCTCTCTCTCCTTTCCTCTCCCTCTCTCTCCTTTCCTCTCCCTCTCTCTCCTTTCCTCTCCCTCTCCCTCCTTTCCTCTCCCTCTCTCTCTTTTTCCTCTCCCTCTCTCTCCTTTCCTCTCCCTCTCTCTCCTTTCCACTCCCTCTCTCTCCTTTCCTCTCCCTCTCTCTCCTTTCCTCTCCCTCTCCCTCCTTTCCTCTCCCTCCTTTCCTCTCCCTCTCTCTCCTTTCCTCTCCCTCTCCCTCCTTTCCTCTCCCTCCTTTCCTCTCCCCCGTCTTCTACACTATCACAACTATCACTATAAGAGCTCTACACACGGGGTGTTCATCAACGATGATCACCAGACAATAACACACAAGGCACTAGGAGTCCACGGACAAAAACTCTACACCATCAAGCTTCATATAAGCGTTAAAGCGGTAAGTATTATGGTTAGATTTGTGTGTTTTTGTGTTCAACACAAAGTTGAA